TTGGCAATAAATGCTTTCTTTGCTGTTGTGAAATCTGGAAAGGTGAAGAAACTTCCTTTTCTAGCTATAAAATAGGACAGCACTCTAAATTGTCTCCAGACCAGAACATATCTTATTTTAAAACCAAAGATAGGTTCCACAAAAACCCTGAGGGCCTTCTGAGCTTTGGAATGTTGCTGAGGGCGCACAAACTTTACCAAGTGTAAAACCTGGCCAATCAGGGGATGGGACTCTTCCACCATAAGCACAAGCCACATGCCCCGTCTTCACTTTGACATCTCAGCAGTTTCTGAGTCCTCCCTGAGCCAAGTAAGACATGTGGTTTGAGTTGAGTTAGGATTATAAGCTTCTGCTGATTTTCTCTGCTGCTTTTCTTAGAAGCTGCCGCTTTCTCATACAAGTGAACACAATGCAATGAAACACAACACATTTTAACACGAATTCAAAAGAATGAGCCAGAAAGTATCAGCATGTGAATGGAGGGCTATGCATGTGAGAAACAGTGATACTGCATCCAAAGTTAGCTGGTGCTCTAGTCAGCTGTCCTGGGTACTGCAGAGCAAAGCACTGAAAGCCAGCGACCATTTTCCAGTGGTTATTTCTATGCTTCTGACCAGACAGGGAACAGAGGACAGGGGATGGGGACAGGGAAAACTGCAGTTATGAACCATGTTAAAAGCTTTCTTAGGAAAAGGAGAAAGGTTCAGCTTGGTAGGACTGTGCTGGTGTGGACTGCATGTGTGTTTACAGGCGGTGTCCCCACATGCCGACGTGTGGAACACATTAACATGCACACATCTCACAGCTTTCAGGTCCTTCTATTAAATCGTGGAAATTTCAGCAACAGCAAATACGGAGGAAGAGATGTTTCTTTCTGACATTTGTTGTAAGATACTGACTCTTAAAATCATCTATATACCAAAATCATCTATATACTAAAATTCTTTATAACACTACAGATCCTTGGTCACACCCTCAAACAGAAAGTACCGAACCAGCTCTCTCTGTGAGCTGACAGTGTGTGGCATCTGGGAATAGATGTTGAAGGGACAGACTCTGCACAGCTCACTTAGTCACCATTTAGTTCTTTCAGGTCAGCGCACCTGCCCTGGCTCCAAGTTATACTCAGAGGCAGGCCTGGTGTTGGGGAACAGGGTTTAACACATCATTTGGGGATCCTCCAAAAGTTAACAGTTCCTGGCCTGTACCGGAAGGAGCATCCTTGCAGATGGCAGCTGAGCTTCTGGTGCTGGTGGAACCCTCTGACAGGTTCTCCAGCATAGCCAGAGCTTTCTAAAGAGGATCCGCCTTCCTCTTCCAAGTGATTCTTCCTCATTTTACCTGAAGTGAGCATTTACTACGGGGCAGGCACTGAGTCAGGTGTCTTCATTTACATTTCCCCTCACCTTAGCTGGCAGATAAGCAAACCAAGGCTTTGTGCTCAGCAGCAAAGTCCTAGGGGCCATGTCGGAGACAAGCCTGGAGCATCGGCCTCCAAGGCCCAAGGGCCTGACCCCTGGGCGCTGTGCTTTCCAGTCCCTTCTACCACACGGCACACAATAAAAAGGAAGGCAGTCCTTGGAGAGCGAGTGACTTTTAATCTCTACATTCACTTCACGACTAAATAGGGGTGTTGCTTAGCACAGTGCGCTGCTGCCAGTGGTAGAGAAAGTGAGGAAACAAAAGAAAATGTAGGCCAAATATGTGGAAGTATGCATGCTGCCTCTTTGTTCTCCTGATACCAATTCAAGTGGAGGATTGGAATAATTGCTTAATTTGGGTGATTAAAGTGCCAAGTGCTGCTTCTCTGCTCTAACTACAAAGAAGAACACTCCCACACCTGAGATGCAGGGTGTTCATGGCCTCCTGTAATTCCCCACCCCATCTTTTACTCTTCACAAAAGTCCTCCAGGTTGTCTGACGGTAGGAGGAAATGTATCCACATGGCTGGGAGTGAGGGCCTGGGAGACGCCGCTCAGCGGTTCATCAAAGCCTTCTCCAGGTACAGTGCAGGTTCCTGCATTTAGGGAAAGCTCTCCTTTTTTAGCCCCTTTCCCATTACTTCCACATTAATTAGTAAAGGTATCATTTTATAAATTACAGCTTCGTATCAGAGGAAAGCAGAGTTTATCTTAATTCAGTCAGCTGTGCAAAATATAGTACCCTAATTTTAGCCCGCCAGTTCTACAGATCCCTATGGAGAAAGAGATGACAGGTCTTCCGGAGAAAAATCCCAGTGGGTTCTAGAAGACTCACTTTTGACTCTGGCAGGATCCCTGGTGGGGCTTTCGGAAGGGATCCCAGGACACTGAGTGGCATTGATTCTGCCATTAACAATTCAGATTTGAATGTGAATCCTCCAAGCAGCACTTGAAAGAGCCCTGATAGCCCCATGGGGGCTCCAAAGGGGCACAGGCAAGAGGCCCTGGCACACAGAGGGTTGATGGGGGGGGGGGCAGCTCAGGAAGACAGTCTCAGGAGGTGGTGTTGAGTTGATGATAAACACCAGAGGTCTCGGTCCAAAAGGGGAAGCCTGACAGTCTTAACTACAGCAGGGCCAAGCAGGCACGACTGCAATTACTGAGGCTTGATTGCTCCTGCTGGGAACCCTCTGGAGAAATGTCATGTGGCATGGCAGGGACAGCTGACAAGACTGCTGGTTGTTGTGAGGCTTCCTGTTAAGAGGACCTGCAGGAGTGCCAAGGCACAAAAGAATGGCCCGGGGACCTAGGCAGAAAACGAGCCAGTCACCAGAGGATCACACCTGATGCCCTTGCCATCCCCTCACTGCCCCTCTCTTGGGCTTGCCTCTTCTGGGCCTCTGTTATTGGCCTGTGGCCACCTCCAACTCCACATGGTTGCTACAGGCTACCTCTCCACCCCTCATCATTCCTTCTATCTCTTTGCTTATTCTTGCACTCAGAGATGGAGACCCAAGCAACAGGTCAGGTCAGGCATTCAGGTCATAGGGAGGGATTAGCTGGGGTGCCGTTAGCATGCAAGAAGCCCCCTGGCTTCCAGATCCCTCTGATAATATGGTAGCTGAATTCTAGAAGTTATCAGAGTTAGATGATCATCTAGTGGTGGCAGAAGTCCCCAGAGACAAAGTAAGTGACCAAAGCCAAAGTCCAGGCTGTGGTCCTTGGAAGGCACTTGGGTGTGTAGCCAAGGCTGTGGTCACAAACACAAGGCACTGACAAGAGATGCAAAATGGGCAGCCTCGCTGTCTTCTGCCACTGCTGAAGTCAGTGATGCTTCTGGAATTCACATTTCCTTTTAAAGAAAGATGTCTGCTTGCTGTTGAAACACTGAATTAGGCCCATCCTCTTGGAGAAGGGCTAGACTTAGATAGTGAGATCAACTATTACCTGTGGATCTCCTGGAATGGCCAGAAGGTTTGAGTCCTTCCCTGAGTTCCATTGAGGCCTAACAGAATGAGAAGATGATGGATGTGTGTGTGCCTGTGACGTGGGGAGTCAGGAAAACAGGGACTGTATCTCTCATGCAGCACTGCTGCTGTCCACTTGTCCCCAAAACCCACTGCACACTGACTTCCTGAGACATCCAAGGTTCTACTTGTAAGGAGCTAAGCCTCCTGGGAACTAGAGGAAGGAAGCTCCTACTTGTCAGTTAAACAAAAGAATAATCCACAGCCTCCTTTCCAGTGTGTACTTTCGCTGTCATCCAACAGCCCATTACCATGTCACAGCACAGCGCACCCTTCCATAGGTCACTTTGTTTAAAATGACATGGATAATGCACATGTCAGCAAGCTGACAGTCCTGGCCGTCCTTCAGAGATAAAAACCTCAAGGCGAGAGCCTGTTCTTATCTGGGGGACAAGCATTGGTCTATCATCCAAGTCAGGCAGAACATGATTTCTCCAGAGAGCACTTTTTTCATTTCCTGATTTTAAGGAAATCAAATAAGCACCATTTGTCTTCATCTGAATATGCTTGACCTGCTCAAATGATGATGTCTTGCATTTTATAACAGGCTACATATGCTGAATTCAAATTAACGATAGTACAGAACAAGAGCCTTTAGATCTCTCTTGGAGACCGGCAGCAGAGAAGGAGGAAAAACTCTGGGCTTACTGGAAAGAACTCACTAAATACCAACCACAGGGTCCTGAGAATAATCCACAAGCATGAAGAAGGTGAAAGTCAAAAACTGGATCAGGACCCATTCAGAAATGGCAGAAGGAAGGAATACTTCATCCTTCGGGTGCCATGCACTTACAAACCATGATATTTAGGCAGCTGTTTTCAAAATACATAAATAATAATAAAAGTGGAAAGAAATTTAGTTGATAGGTTGGTATAGCTATAAAGAATGACTAAATATGCAATGTGTTTGCTTCAGGCAGTGGAAAGCTCACTTTACCAGGTTAGGATCCAGTCTTCTGGAAGCCCAGAAACTGAGCTTCTTTTCTTGATTCACGTGGAGCTGGAGGCCATCAGCCTTGAAACAGCGACGAACCTGCTGGAAGAACTGCCTTCCCACGTGGCAGCTCCCACTTGCCCTCCCCATGCCTCCCCCGGCCCAGGTGAGATTCCTAGAAACGTGCTGTGAACATTTCTATTCAGAAAGCCGATACACACACAAAAGCAGAAGGAAGCAAACAGGTCAGGAAAAGGAAGGCAGAAATGACATCCTAAGTACATAGTAGCAAGTTTCATGTCCCCAACATGAAATAAAAAATAATTTCCTCTTTTAAAATGATTTTTGGTGTCAGTGAATCATCTTCCACAAAGGGAAGACTCAGTATCACATATGTGCACTGTTAAAGGGCTTGTTTAAACACCTGTGAATCTCATAAGGTAAATGCGGTCCACTGTAGCACTGGACATGTCTCTGTGTGGACAGTGTCCGTCCTTTAGAGGAGAAATGGCACTGTCAGCATGAGGCCGGCATCCTACCCCACTGCTACCTGTGAGAGGCCTGTTGTGCTCAAGGTGTGCTACGTGCTGCGCCAGAGTGAAGGTGTGGGGGTCTTACCTTTTCTTCCTGGTCACTGTCACTGTCACACTGCAAATGAAGAGAAGAGAACAAAAGTCAGTGTTATGATTATGCTTTTGCTTTTGATCCCCATCTTTCCAAAGGCAAGCAAACAGGGACTGTTCGACTTGGGAAGTTTCTTCAGCTCAGTGCTAACACATGGCATCCGAAGCACTGTTTTCCTGTAGAGTTCACCTGCTGTGAGTGCTCTGTCCCCTGCCTGGGATCTGGGCAGCAGCAGTCACTTGGCCACAGGAACGCGTGCTGTCACAGCACGCACGGTGCACTCACAGAGAGCCTGCCAGGAGCCTTGTACAGCACTATCTTAAGCTTTTGGGAAAAACTGCAGGTCTGGAGCTCCTTAAAGGATGGGGGTAAACCTTTGGGTGCTGCATTCTCTCATTTGGATTTGGAAGGAAACAACATAATTGGCAGGGGTCACTGCTGGTGATGCCTGAGAACAGAAGAAACACTTTCTACAGAGAAAGCACCATGATAAGAGGTAAGGCAACAGATCAAGAGGTCAGGCAGAAAACATAGGTGCTTCACAGCAGCAGACCCAGCACCCTCTCTGACAATCCCGAAGTCCATACTGAGTTTGGGATAACCACAGTATAACTCACAGTAGTGCGTTCCTCATCAGAAGAAAAGGCAAAACAAACCCAAACTAGAAATAACCAAAAAGTCTCTATGAAATCCAAAAACATCCTGCTAATCAATATTACATTAAAAATGGGAGTTCTATTCTAAAAGAGAAAATGCTCAGCAGATAGTCACATCCGTTCAGCCCCTCAGCAGCCCTTGGGAAGGCATTGCTTATGCAGACAGATAATCAGCCAAGATGTAGGACCCATCCCGAGGTGGTTCTCTGGTCAGGGAGAGAAGCAAGGCTAAACACAAAGGATGAAGCACTACATTCCACTGAGATGGCTCTTCCCTTCCTGCGGGGCGGGACAGAGCACACAGTGGGGAGGGAGGTCACACAGAGAGCAGTTGGGCAGCCATTTCACCATCTACAACAGGATAGGGCCTAGTTTGGGAAAGGGAAAAACAGATGGCAGAGCATTTCGGAGGGGAGAACCAATAGAAATTGATAACAGAGACGAGGAAGCGGCAGGGATGACTCTAAGAGGATGCCAAGTTTTTAGTGTGGCCACCTGGTCTTGGAGTTGATATAGCTGTGAACAAAAACGAAAAATAAATTTTCTTGCTGGGAAGCCACTAACTGCTGGATAGATACCCAGAGTTGTTTACAGCTCTCTCTCTCCCTAGTCTGTATATTTTCCTGACACTCTGAGGTTGAGAAAAGTCATAGGTCTCTCTTACAGCTAGTGGTAGCCATCAGACCCACTTTTGGACAATGAGATTTGAAATCTACTGAGGGTTCTAGAAAAAAAAAATATTTGTGAAATGAAAGAGAAAAGGCAGGAAGAGCTTATCTGTTTCTCTTGAACATAACTCTGTGAGGATGTGGTGGCGGGACCAAAAGCAAGATGGTGGGGCAAGGGATGAGTCTCCCACAATCAAGGCAGTGAACATATCTCAGAGCATCTTGCCTCTGGAGTGTTTTGCTCAGAAAAGCGTAAGTTATCTTACTGTTTAAATTATTAAAGCAATTTGAACTGAAGGTAACTGAAGCCTCCTCCAAATGGATCGCCTGCTATTGTAAGACAGAATGGGGACTACTTCCTCTCTCCAGACCAAGTACTCTGAACCTTAAGCATTTAGGAATTTAAATTGCAGTTCTGTAGACAAGAGAAAGATAACATTTTGCTACTTTGCCCTCTTGTTTCTTGGTGCCAGTTATCAGCAACTGAGTGGCAGTGGTTTCACCAAATACAGCTGCATCGCTTCCCACCAAGCTTCCAACCTCAGGTGGTCTAATCTGACACTCTTGCCTGTCTAGTGATTCTTCTGTATCAGCACATCAAATGGGTTGAGAAAGAAAATGGGTGAGAAGAAGTCTGTGAAGGCCTAGCACAGCAGATGGGAGAGGAACCACATTCTGCTGGCTGTGTGATCTCTCTGTTGCCTTTAATTAAGACCCCCTTGACATCCCTAAGTTCTGGGCATGTTTTCAAGAGTGACAAAGCATGGTTCAGAAGGAGCGCAGCGGTGAGAAGAGCATTTTGCCAGGCAGCCTCGTTCTCCCAGATGTTCACAGCTCTCCTTGTGAGGTAATCAATGGCAGCTGAAGGCTGCGGCAGAGCCATCGCCCACATCCCCAAGGCTTTGTGTGCGGGAAGAAGGAGTGAGGAGTCGGGAATGAACCCGTGCCCCCTGCCCCACCTAACAGCAGTGTGTCCCCTGGAACGGTTATTTCCATCAAAGTGTTAAGCTTCCTGCTTTCCAACAGTCCAGTTCTAATTTCAAGGTCCACTTAATTCTGCATCAAGTAATTACTGATATACCCAGAAGCACCTTGTCTCCAGAGTTAAGCATATGGTGAAGAACTGAGACCTACTGGTATCCATTATGGAAGCAGCACGGATGCCAAGCCGATTAAAAATGCTCAGGCTCCCCACACAACACGCCGGGTGAGTGACAGCTCCTCGACAAGGCCAGTCGCAGAGTCTGCCAAAACAGTCTCTGCTGCACTGGGGCCCACATGGCGCGCTGAGAAAACAGTTCCATTTCTGGTATTAAATTCCCATACTGACCCGAGGACTTTGCCGTGAGCTCAGCAGGAGCGCACCATCCAATTTACAGCTCTGCTCTCTGGAGCCTCGAGTGCCAGCCCCTGGCAGAGACGAATGATGGTCAACCCCTCCAGCTCATAAATTATGCAAAGGCAATAAATGCACTCAGCAAACAGCGCCTAACGTTTGCCTAGCCTGGCTCCGAACACACTCTGTAAAAAGCCAGAAGCTCGACACAAACAAGAGGTCTATTCCACTCATAAAGGGGGTTTGTTGACAACCCCAGACGGAAGGCAAGCCACAGTCCTGAAGTCTTTCTGCTTCACTGGCAGCAGTTTATGGGCCTGCTTTATGAAAAAAGGGAGGCTGTTTTATAGAGTCAGTGTGGGTAGAATTCATGATCTCAAATTCACATTTAATACACTGTACGGGCTTTCCCACTTGAAGCTCAATATGTTGTGGATTTTCGGCCAAATGATTTTTGGCCTTCGAAGGTTTAAAGATGAAGTGTCCAGTCCCAAGTCCCTGTACACCCACTCCAATTTATAAGAGTTCACACTGAACCACCTCCTGACTTGGGTTTATGATGTGTACAGGGCTGGGAGATGGAAAAGGCATGTCAAATGCAGAAATGGGGTCTCAGTTGATTTGGCCATTTTAAGCATTCTGATATGGGGGTCCTGCTTTGGTTTATTAGCAAACAGGTTGTACATCAGCCACCAGCTTGAGGTGACAGCACTCTCCATGACAAGATTTCAAAGCCCTCTATGAGAAGTCGAAATTATTTTACTTCATCTTAAAAGCAAGAAACAAAAAGGAACAACCAGCCTTTGTACTACCAATAGGAAGAATTCTTGGTCACTTGGTGTTCGGGCTAAGACAGGACCCAAGCAGCCACAGCCAAGAACAGGAAAATGGGCTGGATGCAATCCCAGCCCCAGGCCTGGACTGCAGAGTCAGGAAGGCAGCAGTTCCTGAGCCAAGTCCCAGCCATCCCGACACGCCTACCACTCAACTTCGTCTTCAGCCCTCTTCCCTGTTGTTCTATAAATTAGTCATGGACTGTAGAGGCACCATCTTGCTTCCCTGTCAGGCCTCACCCCTTCAGCTGCTCCAACCACCAGTTACCAACTACCTAAATGTCACCTCTTTAAAAATATATATTTATTGGATATACTTATTAAGACTGCACATAAACTTGGCTGGACACTATTAATATATTTACGTAATTTCTTCAGATCCTTCAAGGAAACATACAATTTTCATCCTTCATACACATACTTAAGGAATAAAAATTCCTAATATTTATATCCTGCTTTTGTTTTTATATAATGTCAGATATTTTGATTCAGTCCATAATATTTGTCCTGGAACATCACTTTTAAAAAATGGCTATACTACAACTCACTGTATGGACTGTGCCATAATCTAATTTAAAAAAATCGTTAGTGCTAGTATTTAGATTGTTTCACTTGAATATTCTGAAATTTTCCCTTTGTACACATTCACCAATACTGCTTGCCCAGTATCTTTTCATAGCCCCCGTTTCTGCATATTTTTAATGCCACTGTCTCCCCAGAGTTTCATTTATAGTTCTATTGTTTCTATGTGATTTCCAGGGGAATCCTTAAAGATTCCCTTGATTCCAGCTACCCTTTATATGCTGAGACTAAAACTCTCTATGCCCGCACTTGCCAGCTACGTAACTCTGGGACTGTTAAACTGTGTGCCTCAGTTTATTACTCTTTAACATGTAGCTGCTGATAGCATCTTCAATAAGGTGAGGATAAAAATGAGGTGATAACAGGCAAGCAACACAAACTGTGTGCTGGTAGAGAGCACACATGGGTGATAAATAGCAACTATGCTTTCTCTTTGCTAAATGCAAACATTTCAGACTTAAATATTCATCTACATGTAGGCTCCGTACCTTTTGCTCACCTCAAAATCTGGGGCTTCCCCTTGCTGTGGTGGAAACAGCTCCCCATGGAATCACTCAGCTGTGAGAGGGCACAGTCTCGTTCTCATCCTGCACCCTGCGGCGGACTCCTTATCCCCCCCACCCCCCGCGCGACACCCACACACACACCGTGGATCCCACTCTCCACAGCCTCTCCATCTCCATGGCTGTGGCTGCTGCTTCAATTCAGGGATGCATTCTGTCATTCCCAGAGGCTAACGACTGCTTTCCAGGGTCTATGGGCTCTTCCTTTTTACCCCAATCCTTTTAGATCAGAGTCATTTCCTGAATCTCTGTTTGATGATGACACTTCCCAAGACCTGTAACACTTCACATTTGGCAAATACTGTGCTCCCTCAACACCATAGTTCTTAAGCTTTCTGTGGTGAAGGAGCATTTGGTTTGGCTTGACTGTTTGTAATTATTAATAC